AGTGACTACAATATTTTCCTTTGGACTACAATATTTTCCTTTAGCACAAATGTACTTAATGAACAATATTCAGATCATTTCGAAAATATCCATTCTAAGTTACAGAAGTCCTTAGAGCTAAACCTCCACATTTAAATAAATTGAGCGCATCATTAGTCAAGATCTAAGATCAGAAATATTAAGGTAACAGTAATAAATACCATTAAGCAGTTCTCAACAATCCAGTTAGAACTCTTTGTGCTTTATAAGAATTAAACTTTTCCATAAACAATAGTAAAATAAGTAAGCTTAGGAATCATTAAATATTTTATATCTAAAAATGCCAGATAGAGCGTAAGAAACAACAACCAGTAAAACCATCACCACAAACCACAATCAGATAGTGAAACATATCCAGGTCAGGCACAGTGGCTCATGCCTGTAATCCCAGCACTTCGGAAGGCTGAGGCGTGCAGAATACCTGAGGTTGGGAGTTCAAGACCAGCCTGACCAACATGGAGAAATCCTATCTCTACTAAAAATACAAAACTAGCCAGGTGGGTGGTGGATGCCTGCGATCCCAGCTACTCGGGAGGCTGAGGCAGGAGAATCGCTTGAACCCAGGAGGCGGAGGTTGCAGTGAGCCGAGATCATACCACTGCACTCCAGCCTGGGCGACAACAGCAAAATTCTATCTCAAAAAAAAAAAATGAAAGAAAACATATCCATCGACATCAAAATTTTCTTGTTCCTCCTTCATTATCTCTTCTCCTCAGGCAACAAGTTATCTGCTTCCTATCAATATAGATAAGTTTCTAGAATTTATATAATAAGCAGACTCATACAGTATGTATTCTTTTTTCTCTGGCTTCTTTACTCATCATAATTATTTTGTGATACATCCACGTTGTTGCTTATATCCTTTTATTATTGAGTGGTATTCTACTGTATGAATATACCACAATGTTTATCCATTCATCCATATTAATAGACATTTGAGTTATTTCCCATGTGAAACCATCACAAATAAAGCTGCCATGAATACCCATGTACAAATCTTATGGACATAATGCTTTCATTTATCTTGGGTAAATTCCTAAAACAGGATGGCTGGATTAGGTGTATACAGTTCTAAAAAACTGCCAAATACTTTTATAAAGGGAGTGTACTATTTTTTTCACTCTTGTCAGCTTTGAGAGTTCCAATTGTTCTACATCCTCTTAAACACATTGTAAGATCAGCCTTTTTAATTCAGACATTCTAATCAGTATGTAGTCATATCAACTTCTAGTTGTATTTCTATATAATAGCAATGAATAGAAATACAACTGATTTTTACAAATTGATCTTATATAATGCAATCCTGCTAAAATCACTTATTAGTTTAGAGCAATTTTGTAGGTTCCATCAGACTTTCCACATAATGTATCTGTGAAAAAAGACAATTTTTTCTTCTTTCCTTCCACTGTAGCTGCCTTTTATTTCTTTTTCTTGCCTTATTGCACTGGCCAGTACAATGTTAAGATAAATGGTAACCAAAGATACCCAAATGATCAACAGACAAATATGCTTATCACTGGTCACAGCAGCACTATTCGCAATAGCCAAAAGGTGAAAACAACCCAAGTAACCATCAAGAGATGAATGGATAAAAAAAATGTGATATAAACATACAATGGAGTATTATTCACCCATCAAAAAGAATGTAATGCCGACATACGGACAAAATAGAAAAACCTTGCTTTGTCTTGCAACTTGGGTATGAGCTCATCCACAGTAAAATAAAGCACCAAGTAGATTCCTAAAGTTTCCAACTCCAGGCCCCAGCTTCTGGACAGCATTTCTAGACCCATCTTAGGCCAAAAGGGAACCCTCCACCCTGAAGGGAAAAACACAAGCCAGCTACATTCACAACCCGCTGAATAAAGAGCCCTTGGGACTTGAATAAACATCAGTGGCAGCCAGGCAATACACTGTACTGGCAAGACCCAGTACTGTGCTGGTTTCAGGTCTAACCCAGCACAGTCCCAGTGGTGGTGGTTGCAGGGGTGCTTGTGTCACTCCTCCCCTCAACTCCAGGTAGCTCAGCATGGAGAGAGATGCCATTTGTTTGGGGGAAAATAAGGAAAGAGAACAAGAGACTGCGCCGGTAATCCAGGCAATTCTGGCTATTACCCAAGACCACTAAGGTCATACAGCTATAAGTCTACAAGAGTCACGGCACTACTGGGCTTAGGTTGCTCCCTAATGTAGATATGGCTATAGAGACCAAGGACTTAGATCAAAACAATCAATTACCTTTGAATACTTAGAAAGCTTTTTCTAGAAGGATAGGTACAAACAAGCCCAGACTGTGAAGACTACCATAAATACCTAACTCTTCAATGCCCAGACATCAACAAACATCATAAGCATCAAGACCATCCAGGAAAACATGACCTCACCAAACAAACTAAATAAGGCACCAGTGACCAATCCTGGAATGACAGAGATATGTGACCTTTCGGACAGACAAGTCAAAATAGCTGTTTTGAAGAAGCTCAATCAAATTCAAGATAATACAGAGAAGGAATTCAGAATCCTATCAGATAAATTTTAAAAAGAGAGTGAAATAATTTTTTAAGATCAAGTAGAAATTCTGGAGCTGAAAAATTCAACTGATAAACAAAAATGCATCAGAGTCTTTCAAGAGCATAACTGACTCAGCAGAATAAAGAAATCATGAGCTTGAAGACACACTATTTGAAAATACAGTCAGAGGACCGGACACGGTGGCTCAGGCCTGTAATCCCAGCACTTTGGGAGGCCGAGATGGGCAGATCACCTAAGGTCAGGAATTCGGAGACCAGCCTGGCCAACATGGTGAAACCCTGTCTCTACTAAAAATACAAATTAGCCCGGCATGGTAGCAGGCGCCTATAATTCCAGCTACTCCGGAGGCTAGGCAGGGGAATTGCTTGAACCTGGAAGGCGGAGGTTGCAGTGAACCGAGATCACACCGTTGCACTCCAGCCTCGGTGACAAAAGCGAAACTCCACCTCAAAACAAAAAATAAAAAACAACAAAAAAAAAAAAAAAAAAGAAAGAAAAAAGAAAGAGAAAACAGTCAGAGGAGACAAAATAGTAAAGAATAAAAAAGAATGAAGCACACCTACAAAAACTAGAAAATAGCCTCAAAAGGGAAAATCTAAGAGTTATGGGCCTTACCAAAAAGGTAGAGGAGAGAGAAGTGGGTACCAAGTTTATTTAAAGAGATATACTGCAGAGAACTTCCTAAACCTAGAGAAAGATATCAATATTCAAGTACAAAAAGGTTATAGAACAGCAAAGAAATTTAACTCAAATAAAATTATCTCCGGACATTTAACTATCAAACTCCCAAAGGTCAAGAATAAAGAAAGGATTCTAAAAGCAGCAAGAGAAAAACACATAGCATACAAAGGAGCTCCAATGTGTCTGGCAGCACACTTCTCAGCAGAAACTTTACAGGCTAGGAGACAGTGTATGACATATTTAAAGTACTGAAGAAAAAAAAAACACTTTTATCCTATTATTTTCAGTATATCCACTGAAAATATTATATTCACTGAAAATATCCTTCAAACATGAAGGAGAAATAGACTTTTCCAAACAAATAAAAGCTGAGGGATTTTGTCAACACCAGACCTGTCCTACAAGAAATACTAAATGGAGTTCTTCAATCTGAAAGAAAAGAACATTAATGAGCAATAAGAAATTACCTAAAGATACAAAACTCCCTGGTAATAGCAAATACATAGACAAATACAGAATATTAACACCATAATTCTGGTGTGTAAACTACTCATATCTTGAATAGGAAGAATAAAAGATGAACCTATCAAAAATAATAACTACAACCAGGTGCAGTGGCTCATGCCTGTATTCCCAGAACTCTGGGAGGTGGGAGTAGGCAGACGGCTTGAGTTCAGGAGTTCAAGACCAGCCTGGGCAACATGGCAAAACCCCGGCTCTACAAAAAATACAAAAATTAGCCAGGTATAGTGGTGCACACCTGGGATCCCAGCTACTCAGGAGGCTGAGTTGCAAGGATGGCTTGAGCTGGAGAGGTCGAGGCTACAGTGAGTTGAGATTATGCCACTGCACTCCAGCCTGGGTGACAGAGCAAGACTGTCTGGAAAAACAAAACAAAACAAAACAAAACAAAACAAAACAAAACACCCAAAAGCCTACTACAGACACACAGAAAACAAAAGGCAAGACATTAAAACATACCACCAGAAAATAATCAGTTTCCCATAAAGGAAGATAGGAAGATGGAAGGAAGGAAGGAAGGGAGGGAGGGAGGGAGGGAAGGAAGGATGAGAAAACAAATAACAAAATGGTAATAGAAAGTCCTTATCAATAATGACACTGAATGTAAACAGACTAAATTCTCCAATCAAAAGACACAGAGAGGCTGAACGGATTTAAACAAGCGCAGTTCAACCATCTGCGGCCTACAAGAAACAGGTTGGGCACAGTGGCTGATGCCTATAATCTCAGCACTTTAGGAGGCTGACGCAGGAGGATTGCTGGACCCCAGGAATTTGAGACTAGTCTTGGCAAGATGGTGAGACCCTGTCTCCATAAAAAACAAAGAAAAATTAGCCAGGTGCAGCGTCATGTGTCTGTAGTCCTAGCTACTTGGAAAGCTGAGGAAGTATCCCCTGAGCTGAAGAGTTTTGGTCATAGTAATCCATGATCACACCACTGCACTCCAGCCTAGGGGACAAAGTGAGACCCTGTCTCTTAAAAAAAAAAAAAGAAAAAAGAAAAAAACTTTAAATAGAAAATTTTTAAAAAGAAACACACTTCACCTAGAAAGAT